TTTTTTTTTTTTTTTTTTGGTACCGGGGATCGAACTCGGGTCCTTGTGCTTGCAAGGCAGGCCACCGAACTGCTGAGCTAAACCCCCGGCCCTTCTTCCCCTTTTTCTTTTCTTTTTTTTAGTACCGGAGATCGAACTCGAGTCCTTGCACTTGCAAGGCAGAGGCAGAACCACTGAGCTAAATCCCCAGTCCCCTTGGTTTCTTTTTAATAGCACTGATTTCTAGCAACCATGCACTCTTTGGCTGCAACTTAAACCATGCTTTTTTTCTGACCACAAATTTTTCAAATCTTTCCACTCTGCTTTTTGCTCTGGATTCTCAGTGTCAGTCTAGCAGAAAGCAGTCAGCAGTATACTAGCCTGAAGCTGTGTGGCCCTAAAATCTCTGCTAGGATAATTGGCCCATCAGCTTTCATTCAGCTCAGCCTCTCAAAGTCAGGACCTGGACAAGTTCTATATTGGAGAGTTAAATCATGGCCTCTTGTCCATTCCCAATAGTGTCCTCATTTCCACCAGAAGTCTCACCAGCACATCCTTTCCCATGCATACTCCTGCCTCCACTGGTCCAAGCTCCCACCAGAAATGACCATTCTGCTTCCAGTGTTTTGAGGCTTTCTCTAGCCTGGCTTTCCAATTTTTTCTAAATTGCAAACCAGTTCCAAAGGCTGCTGAATCACATTGCCAGGTATAGTCACAGCACCTGTTACCAGACCGAACGCCAGCATTTCTGATAGCTGATAACCCCGTGCTCCTATCCGCCATTCACAAGTTGCACATCCTCCCAATCACCGCAGGGGGGCGCTCCAGGCTGCCACTCAGCCCACCTTGGGCTCATAGTGACACCCATGCACAAGGACAGACCCGACATTAGGACATGCCCTAATTAGGGAAGAAAAGGGTGGTATCCTGAAGGGATGGTTCCTGGAAGGGTGGTAGAAATCTTCTCTTGTGAAATGCTCTGATGACAACATGCAAATCACACACTCCATATAACCCAGATCTAGAAAAGGTCCAGACCCCACACCTGCTTGGGGAGAAGGTGCCTTTAGAGTGGGGACTCCCCTTCTCCCATCGGCCATTCAGTGAAATGTGCTGCCTGCTCCTAGAACTGATTATTTGCAGTTATCAAGAAGAACCTAAAGATTTGGTAACACAACCGCACTTCTGGTACCAGTTTTCTGTGGTAGACTCTGTTGCTGTGACAGACACCTGAAATAACTTAGAAAAAGGAAAAGGCCTGTTTTAGCTCATTTTAGTCCATGGTGAGTTGCCTCTGTTTTGGGGCCTGGGAGCAAAGGGACAGAGAAGGGGTTGAGTGTCCCAGTCTGTCAGTGGCACAACCCCAATGGCCACTTCCTAAAGGTCCCCAACAACACCATCAGCAGAGGACCAAGCCTTCAACAAATGAATGAAATGTAAGATCCAAACTATGTTTCCCTGTTTATTATGAAATGACAAAAAAATTCTAAAAAGTATGCTAACAAATTCCCTAACTCCCCCGTCTACATGAGACCAGATAAACCACAATCCCGTTGCTGCTGACCATCTTAAGGGACCTTCAAGCACATAGTTTAGGCTTGAAATCAGAATTGCCCTTAAACTTGGGCAAGCCAAAAGCCACCAATCAGTGCCTGCTGCTTAAAGGAAGTAGGTGGTAGGAACTTGCATATTTTGTTTAAATGAGGGCTGGAGTATAACCCAGGACTGGCTTTGGGTGTGAGGTAAGGACTATCCTTCATGGATGGAACCAAGCAACTGCACCCTTCAGTGGGATGAGAATCGCCTCGAGGTGGTGTCCGCCCCACCGGTCTACAGGGGGTTTTTGCGGACGTCAATCATCCCTGGGCTGGCCCTTCGTGGCTCCCACCGTGGCTTGGGCAGGAGTCCAAAGTTCCAGGACGGGCCGGCTTCGCCTACGGGTAGCACCCGCCCCACGAGGGGCTCAGCTGCTTCCCGTGGCCTCGGATCCTCCAAGGATCCGGGTTCCTCACAGCACAGGCTGGAGCGCTTCCACGTCAGCGGTAACGGGGCGTGGATCAAGTCGCGCGTCTCCTCCCGGGCGCGGGGGGCGCTGTCGGGGAATGGCGGCTGCCAGTGAAGCTCTGGCCCTGCGACCTGCAGCCCCTCATCATGTCCAGGGCCCTGTCTGTTCTCCAGGCCGAGGCTCCTCCTCTCCCCACCTGTCACCAAGAACAGCATGCCCTTGTCAGAAATGGAAAGGGCAGCACTGTCCCAGAGTCTAGTTTCTCAATGCCAATAAGCAGCTTGGGAAACAAGTGCCCCCCAACCCTGGAGCTCCCCCTCAACCCGGCAGCAGAGCAGGCCCGGGTGCTGAGGGTGGTGTTACCCTTGCTCTGGCCGGTGGCACTCCCCACGCTCAGCCTCTGCTTCAGCTCCTGGTTCAGCCACATGTGGCGGCCCAGTTCCTTCTCCAGAGCCTGGATCCTGGCCTCATACTGCCGCCTGCTGTCTGCAAAGCCCTCACCCAGGTGGTCTGGCGTGGAGAGGCAGGACAGTGGTGAGCAGCTGTGGGCAGATGGACGGCAGCCATCCAGCCCGGCCTGCCCAGCGCTCACCCCGGCCCTGCTGGAGGAGCAGCTGCATGCTCTGCTCGTGCTCCTTCTGCTGCCGTGTCAGCTGGCGGTCCATCTCCAGGCGCTGGCGCTCCAGGGCCACCTCCAGCCAGTACACCAGCCTCTGCTGCTCTTCCAGCTGCATCTCCAGCTCCGAGAAGGCGATCTGCTGCTGATGCTGCTCCTCCCGGAGCGTTACCACCTGTGCCGAGGCCAGCAGGCTCAACGTGCCATCTCACCCTTCCACACGGACTTGTCCAGGGAAGGAAGGGTGGGCCAAGCTGGCAGCACAAGAAATCACTGGGGCCTTTCCTGCCTCAGACACCTTCTTGTCAGTGTTCTAGGCAGTGGGTTCTGAAGACTAGAGCTGGCCCTCGAGATGGGCGTCCCTTTGTCGTCCCTGCTGCAAACCCTCCCCAGACACACACTACTGTGCTTCTGGGCAGAGGCTCAGGCTGGAGCACTGGACCTCAGCTAGGAGTTCTCAATCTTGGCACAACCAGGATTTGGGGCCACATGCTATCCTGTGCTGAAGGGTGCTTAATGGCATCCCTGGCTTCTACCTGCCCTACCACAGTGGTGATCAGAAGTAGCTGTACACCTGCCCCTGGGGGCAAAACCATCCCCGAAACCCAATTTGTGGGCAAATACTACCCTGAAGATGGCAATCAGGCCGGAACAGCAGACGACTTATGTAGCATCACTAAGTAAGATGAGTTCAGAGAGGTGAGGTGTGCAAGACAGACTAAGGTGGTCCTAAAATGCCCTCCCCGGGAGGAAAACACTCCTGCCTCAGTGGAGCCCCCAGCAGAGGCAGGGGTAAGTGCTGACCCACCTTATCGAAATACTTGCAGAGCAGGGCTCTGGTCTCTGAGGACGACAGGTAGCTGAGCTTGGCCATGAGGTTCATCTCACACTGGGACAGCAGGGAGGCTGAGGCCCGCAGCACCCGCTGGCGGCACGTGATGGCCTCGTTCTTGTATTCAATGGCAGCATCCAGGGCCTCAATGGCCTCATCCAACTGGAACAGTGTCCGCTCCTCCTGCGAGGACAGAGGCACACATGGAAAAGCATCATCGACTTCCTGATGCAAAGTCCCGGGCAGACATGTGACAGTCAACAGGCAGCCACAACAGCCTTCAGCATCCCCTGATCCTGAGCATTAAGAGAAGATACCCCTGCTCACTGTGGTAGAAAAAGGGAGCTTCAGGGAAGTGTGCATATGTGGCCAGTGGGAGGCCAAGCATGCTCTCAATACTCAGTCCCGTGCACAGAGCTGAGACACTTAAGCATGTGGTCTAACCCACCGCAGGGTACAAGAGGAGTCCAGGTCCAGCCAGAAAGAAGCCTAGAGCTGGGCAAAGCCAGGCTATGTCGCAGTCAAAGAGGTGGAGGCAGGGGCAGAAGGACCTGGCCAGCCCCACTACAGGGCCTCCTGCACAGAGGAAAACTGTGTCCACAAGTAGCAAGGCCAGCATCCCAGGGAGCCAGGCTAGGGACTGACAGCAGATGGGTGGACGACAACAGGAACAGACGGGTGACCTGGGCGACCACCACAGGATGTACCTCGGGCGACAGCAGGCTGCCCTGCCTCAACTTGCTGTCAATCTCCAGGCGCTGCTTCAGCAGCAAATCCTTCTCCTGGCGCAGGGTGTCAATCTCCCCACGGATCTGCTGCTGGTTCTGGGCACTGCCCTGCCGCAGCTGCCCACTCTTCTCGGAGAGCTCCTTCTCCAGGTGCTCCAGCCGGCTGGACACTCGCACGATATCCTCATTCAGGGCCTGGGACAGCACCATGAGGGATTAGGGAAGGAGCAGGCACCATCCCCAAAGGGGGGACAGAAAGGCCCAGGGTCCTTACTGTATGCGAGGATGGGGCCCCTCTCTGGAGAAGCCCACCGTCTATGGCTCACTTGGCAGGAGGCCTGGTTCAGGTCACAGCTCTGGGATCAGAGGACACAGGGACCAGAGCATCTGGGAGAGGCTCTCAGAGAAGGCCCGGAGGAGGATACAGACAAGCATAGGGAAGAGGCCTCGATGGCGAGAAGGGACCACAGGGGCAAAGGCAGATCTGGGAGCGGGGCAGCATCCCTGAGATGACTCAACAGTGTGTGACGGGACCACTGGAAATCCATGGCCAAACCCTGAAGGCCCTTCCAAGAGCTGACACAGGAGAAAGAGAGGTGCTAATGGCCAAGGGAAGTTATGCAAGCCCCGGCAGCACCCTGCTCCTCTTGGACTTCCACGCACTGAGGCGAGGTGTCCTGGACTGTATGCACCTGCAACCCTGTCGGAACCTGGCCCAGGCTCCTGGACTGGACCAGGCTTGGGTCTGGGTTGGACATATTCCATCTAGTCCTCATAGCAACATCTGATCCCTAGAGACAGCAAGGAAATGGGGTCAGAGGCTAACCCTCCTATTTAAGAGGGAGTAACAATGCCAGGTAGAGCCAGGCCCACCTGCCCAGGCCTGCCCGTCCACCTCCAAAGCTGCCAAACTCTCTTGCTAGCTGCCCATAACACTTCCTGATCCTGTTCCCCCTTGTGCTGCCTGCTCGGGCCCTGTGTAGGTGGCTCATGGTGTAAAGCAAGTCGTGGGATGTCCCACACCTCACTGTTTGTTCATAAACCACCCAAAGCCCTAGAATTCTTCAGGATCTATGGAATATGGCCTGGCAGGACAGAGCTTCACCTGTTTGGAACTCACCTGGCAAGAACAGCACCTAGAGCAGCGATGGCGAACCTTTTAGAGCTGTTAATGATATGAACAGCCCGTCATGATATGTGTGCCATGGGTTCACCATCACTGACCTACCAGACCCTCATCTGTCTAGACTTCACCTGGCTGGAGCCTAAGAGTACTTCACCTGTGTAGATGGAAGGGACATCTCTGGCAGAAGCTTACCGGCAGGGTTACCACCTGGAGGGACCTCACCTGGCTGGGCCTCACCTGGCTGGACCGCAGGCGCTTGCTCTCCAGCCCCGTCTTCTCCTGCATCAGGGCCTCCTTCTTGGCCAGGATGACCTCCCGCTTATGCAGCTCCTCACCCAGCTCCTCCAGTGCCCGTCGCTGCTGCAGCACCTTCTCCATCTCCTGGTCCAGCCACTTCTTCTGTTCCTCAATCTTCTGAGGGGCAAAGGGGAGGCGAGACAGGGCCTCAGTTCCCCCCTCTGGCTGGAGGGCTGCCACCAAGGTTCCACAGGGAGTCCCTGGGGCCCCTGGTCCCTAGCCAGGCCTTGAGTGCAGGGACACAGGCTCAGCCGACCCACCTGCTGCTGCTCCAGGCTGACCACAGTGCCATTGCTGCCACTGCGCCGCTTCCTCTGGAAGGCCGCAATCTCCTCTGTCTTGATCTTCAGGATCTTCTGCTGCCGCTCATGTTTCAGCTCCAGCTCCTGGTGGGGAAGGCGAGGTGTGGACAAGGCCCGGCGACAGGGCTGTTCAGGGAGCCACATCCTTCTAGTGCCTGCCCAGGGCAATGCTGCAACTGCCCTGTGAATGTCCCCAGCCTCTCCAGGACCCGCAAACATGGTTTGGACCCCATTATGCAGTCGCCTACATACCCCATCTCAGAGTCTCCCCCAGCCCTGAGCTACCCGTCTGCTCCCCAAAAGCACTCAGGTATGTGAGCCGCTTCTTAAGGTTCCTGGCTGTGCCCCCAGATCCCTGGCCAACCTGGACTCAGCGTCACGGGCAGGCAGGCTATGGTGACTGACATTGACCCAGAAACTGACCTTCACCTGGTGCTGCCGTTTGTGCATCTCTGTCTCCAGCCGCCGCTTCTGCTCTGTTTCCTCACGCAGCCGCCTCTGCAAATGGCCCTGCTGCTGCCGCATGAGCTGCACGTTCTTTTCCAGCTCCTGCAGCCGCTTCTCACTCTGGGCCGACAGTGACACCAGCCGCTCCGTGGCCTGCTTCTTCTCTTTTAGTGCCTGGGGCCCACACAGTCTCTGCTGGCCATGCATAGGGCTGCGAGCCCAAAACAGTGCCCAGCACTCCCAAGCAGGAGTGAGACCAACGGGTGGGTGGAGAGAGTGACACGTGGAAAGGGGAAAGGACGAGTAGATGATAGGCTAGTACTAATAATAAGCTGGGCGTGATGGCGCACGCCTGTAATCCCAGCACTCTGGAGGCTGAGGCAAGTGGACTGCCCCGACTTCGAGGCCAATTTGGGCTACATAGTGAGACTCTCAAAAAACAACAAAGAATAGTAATACTAAATAGCAAAATCCTAAAGCTATGTCATCTCCAGTACCCTATGTGTATTAAAGCATTCTAACAAGACTATGAAGAAATGACATTATCCTAGTTTACAAATTAAGAATCTGAGGCACAGAGGAGTTAAGGAACTTGATCAAGTTGGGAGGTCAGGAAGGCGTTGGCACCACCCACCAGGGGCTGACGCACAATGGCCTCAGCATATGCAGGCTCCATAGTGGGCCTGGAGCCCGAGATCACCTGTCCTGGTCCCAGGGACCCCGACTGGAAGGCCACAGCCACCTGCCCCTGCCCCTGAGGCTCCCACACTGACCTGCACCTGGCTCTTGGCCTCAGCCACTCTCTTGCGGAACTCCTGGAGCCGGGACCGCTCGCCTGCGTCCTGGGGCTCCCTGCCCTCGAGCTCCCGCAGCTGCTTCTGGCCCTCACTTAGCTCGGCCCGCACCCTCTCTGCCTCTTGCTCCAGCTCCCGGATCCGCTGGCTGTGCTGGCGGTTCAGGGCCTGGGCTGCCTTCCCTGGAAGACACAGGGGCCACAGGGGCACAGGTGGCCCCTCTCCCCAGGGGGCTCCCGGTCCTCCCCTTGGGAGCTTCCCCCAAGGCCCTGTTGGCCATAAACACCTGGGTTTCACCAGCTTCTCCACCAACAGCCCTGTGACCAGTTAACCTGATACGTGCCAAATAAACCTATAATTGAACCTGCATGTAATTAAGCATCTAACTTTTGCTTACGAGGAATAACGCAGAACGAAAGAATGACATGACGCCCTGAGGAAGCCAAGAAGAAAATGCAAGGTATGTGGGGTCTGGTGCCCGCCTGCAGGGAGACTGTGAGGAGGTGAGAGGAGGGGACTGCAATTCACAGGACACATGGGCCACGCAAACCAGCTGCAAGACGAGCTGAGTCTGCGCTTGTGCTCAGGGCAGGAAGGGGACCTGAGGACCATTCAGTGGTGAGCGTTTGCCTAGTGTATGTGCGGTCCTGGGTCCCATATCCCCAGCATGGCAAAAAAGGGAAAATGTTCTGTTAGGTGTGCTGAGGGCAACGTCCCCAGTTTTTGAGAGGTAGCCAGGAAAGGACTTGTTATTTGGGATTTGCTTCAAAATATATTAGCAAAGAACAAAGGGAGAAAGGAAACAAGGGTGGGAAATCCTGGTAACTGTGAAGCCTGGATAGGGGCCCATTGTGTGAGTCCCTCTTCTTATCCATTTGATATGGGTAAAAAGAGAGAATTTGCAAATTGAACTTTATAACAAATTCACAACTGTTAAAATAAAGAGGTTCAAAAGGTCAGCACCTAAAACTATCCCCAGATCTTTTGTTCAGATTGCCAGTAGCAGAAGTGGCATGATTTGGGGACACTGGATCTTTAGTCATACGCCCTGTGTGCTCCTCAGGACCAGTTCTGGGCCCAGCAAGATGCCAAAAGCATGGCTGACACTTGATAAACAGCCTGTGCTGCTTCCTAAGAGCTATTCTTAACTCTCCTGTTTCACCTCACAAATACCCTATGAAGTAGGAGCCTCACTATCCCCGTTTTAGAGGAGAACACTGAAGTTCAGAGGGGTTGTGCTATCTACTCAAGGTCACACAGCTAGAAGAGGCTGGCATGGCTCTCCAACCCAGCCTCTGTCCCTGTTCCTAACCGGTGCAGTGTGGACCCCTCTCTAAATAGCACAAAAGTGGCTGGGGGAAAAGCGCCCTCACCTGTGCGGACCAACTCGCTGATGAGCTCCTCTTTCATGCGGATGTTGATGGCCAGCTCCCGGATCTTCTGCTGGGCCTGGGCCAGCCGCCATTCAGAGGCCATGGCAGTAGGGGCCTGGCGGATCTGAGCCAAGGCTCTGTTCCCACCAAGCACTGTAACAGGCAGACTGTCAAGGTCATCCCGCCCAACCAAGAGTAGGGTGCAAGGGCCAGGGGCCACTGGCCCAGGACTGGAGGGTCAAGCAGAAGGGCCCCCTCTGCACCCTGGCCAGCTTTACCTCTGAGCCCCTCAAGGGCAGTGTCTGGCTCTTCCAGATGGAATTCTGTGCCCTTCCTCTCTGGTGGGCTCCCTGGGCGCACCCCTGCCCTTGGGATGCAGTTGCTGATCCCGTTTCTACAGGACAGAAGTAGGAGTGTACTACTCCCTAGCCTGCTCCAGCCTGGCCACCTCTCAGGCCCCCAGAAGAAATGTGATCCCAGGATATAAGTCTGGCAGAACAGAGGCCAGGGTGATGGGAGGGACTGCACCCTGATTTTAAAGCCCACACATAGCCTCTGTCCTTCTCTCCAAGGCCAGCAAGGGCCATGTAAGTGAGAATACCTGAGACCCAAGGCCTCCCCCACCGCTGACCCCATCCTGCCCAGCTTGGATCAGTCCTGGTCAGCTCAAGCAGGGGCCCCTCACCTGTGCAGGAGCAAGGTCTGCCTGGGCGCCTCCTCCTCTTCCTCCTCAGATGCAGCCGAAGAGCCACTTCCCAGCTTGTCTGCCTCAGCCAGCACTTCAGCTCCAGCCTCCCTGCCATCTGGCACCTGCTAGGGGAGCGTCAGGATCTCAGGATGGGACTGTCCACAGGCACCTCCACAAGCCACTTCCCACCCCAAGCCTGTCCTGCCCTATGTACCCTTCCTCACGTCTACCCCGCCTGCCTGGTTCCCCTTCAAGATCCAGCTCAAGCAGCCACTTGGGGAGCCACCTCAACTTGCAGCTGGGGCACCAGGCATCCCCTCCACTACGTTAGCTCCCTGGCACCTGGGGTGACAACCCGCCCCTTCCAGCTGATGGACAGGTCAGATCCACCCAAGTCCTATCTCACCAACAATGCCCTGCCAGAGTGGTGGAAGCAGGACAGACAGCCCAGTCCCCTCAGACCTTAGAGCTATGATGACCTAGAGTTGTGCGACAGGACAGGAACAGACTTTGTCTAAAAGGTCCCAAGTGCCAAAACTATAAGCAAGAGTTTGAGAGTGGGTGACGAGCACTCCATCTCCAAGGGTATGCAAGCTTCCCCTCTGTTGATGGAAGCCAGAACCTCCTGTCACCTCCTCACCCTAAGAAACCTCCAGCTACCCCAGGGAGACGCAGTGGTTTCTGAAAAACCCCACAGTCATCTACATCTTGATCCTTCCTCTAAAGACACCTGAAACAGTCATCTTGTTTCTCATAGCTGGTGCCACAGAGACACAGGTGAGGGGCTCATGCCCTGAGCCTGACCAGACCAATAGGGTCTTGCAGCCGCCCGGCCTCACTCCCGCTCACCTCGTCCTGCTGCTTGGGGCCAATTTCATCTCTGGGGAGGCAGGTAGGGGGCACCATGCCCAGCCCATGGGTACAAGCACCACCCAGGGGTGCCGTGTGAGGTCTTGGCACAAAAGGCCCAGAAGGCAGGCCCTGCAGGAGGCCTGGGGTCCCCCAGCTGGGCCGCACCAGCTCCAGCCGCAGTCGCAGCTCCACCATCTCCTCCTGCTGCTCCCTTAGCCGGTCACTCTGCAAGATACAGCCAGGTGTGATGAAGTGGGCGTGCTAGGGATGCTGGCCAGCAGGGGGCATGCAGGAAACCAAGCCTGGGTCTAAAACCTGAAACAGCACTCCACACCCGGCCTAGCACCAGAGCCCCACACACTACACTAGTCCAAGCTCAGCTCCACCCGACCAGTACATCCTCATCATCCTCCCACAGCACCAGGCACCTGCTGACCCAAGTAGCCCAGCTCCAAAGTGCTCAGGTCATATCTCCCATCCAAGCTCACTACCATCCAGCAAGGGCATGGCCACAGCCACCCACACCACCGGTTCCTTGCACCTGGGGTGCACCCTAACCCTCTACTGCCTTCCACATGCCACCCCCTCCTCCTGGGACACTGGCCAGACTTTCCCTCTGCTCTCCTGCACTACGGCAGCCCGGCCCCACCTGCAGCTTGTATTGCTCCATGGCGTCCTCCAGCGCAGCCAGGAAGTCCCGGTTCTCCTCCTCCAGCCGGGCCACCTGGCTCTGCAGGGCCAGAAGTTGCTGCGCACCACCATCTTCCTAGGGAGCACGGAGACAGGCACTGGGGGGTGCTGCAAGGTGCTGGGACACCCTGGTCCTGTCTCTGCCCTGCTTCTCTGTTCCACATACTCCTACAATGTGGGGTTCAGACCCATCCGGCCCCACCAGCCTGAAGTTCTCTCTGCAAGCCACATGTGCTGCTCTTGTCACTCTTAACATCTTTTCATTAATATCACTATCAAGCTAGGTACTTGTTACCCCTCCGGCCCTGGCAACACCCCCAGGATGCAGTACTAAGCTTATCCGTACTTTATAGACTAGATCCAGAGGTTCCGCGAAGCTTAGAAAGCGACTGCGGTCATCAGAAGTGCGCTCTGCTAAAGAACAGGAGGCGGAGGCACAAGTGGCTAACTGAAGATCCTCCCCCATGGCCCACCTACACCCGGCCCTCGGCTACCTTTTGCCCACCAGGCCCCTGCACCGCCTGGTCCTCTGTGGAGGTGCTCTCGATGCCACTGTCCGGCCCAGAGGCAGAGCTCAGGGCGCTGCGCTCGCCCTCCACAGCGCACAGCCAGTCGTGCACTTTGCGCGCGGCTGCGTCCCGCAGCCCCGGCTC